TTTTCTGCTTAACTAGGAATATATTTGGATAAGAGAGCTGTGTTTAGAGAAGGGGATAAGTTGTTTTCCCTTCGCATTCAGCTACCTGAGGGGGAAGAAAAAAGCAACACTCTAAAAAAAATGTTATTTTGAGCCACATTTTGAATGCCTTGAGGCTGGCAGCACTGTCTTGTTTAATTTTAGGAGGCATTTAAACAGCACGATAGACACTATGCAGAAATGATGGATGCTGTCAGGGTAGGATTTGTACCTAATTTGGATCAAGCAGCAGCACCTAAGTTAATGCCTACACACAGATTCTCTGGCTGGGTCAAAATCACAGACATTATTTCCATTTGCATTGCAACTTGTGCATTTATATCTTTCCCCAGTGGGAGTGATTTGCTGTCAGCAGCAAAGCCAGCAGAAAGGGCAGTTACGGGGGTGTCCCATGAAAACAGGATTGAAAAAAGTGCTGCAGGGGTAGATCCGGGTACTGGAGCACTGGGTCATTTGCAGAAATTCCCGGGATGTCTAGTGTGGGAGAGTATTGGGTCCTGAATAGTCCAAAGTAGGCCGTTTAGTATTTTGCAGATGGAAAAGGTGAAGCAGAGGAATGAATAAATATCCTCAAACCACATGGTTTTAAGAAAAAAATTGAATGGGCAGCTGGAAAATGTGCAAGCAGCTTTAGGGTGCAGTGCAGACGGTAGGAGAAAGGGAGGAGGCCCAGGTTAAATAATCGCCACGGCTTTGGCAGCTGCAATTCCTCATCCTCCTGGAATCCCCTTTCCCTCCAGCGAGGTAGCAGTAGACACAGTCCCTCCTGCTCCATCCTGTTGTCCATGCACCAACGGGGACGTCTCCAGTCTCAGCTGTGACCCCTCACACTGTGGCGGACGCTCGAGCACGGGACAAGCGCAGCGCACAGGGCACAGGATGGAAACCCGAGGGAACACAGATGGGAGGCAAAGGGGGTTTTAATCATCCCTGATTTTTATTCGTGGCTGCTTACTTAACAGGCCAGCTACTTAGCAGGACCACTGTCTGCTTGAAGTGTCAGCACATACAGTGCTCACGCACAACTAGTAGCTAGCAGGGATGGAAAATAAAAGTGTGATCAGCACTGTCCAGAAAGCTCATTTAGCATAAAACACTGGGCATAATGACATCTGCATTTAAGTCCATTATACTGATGTATGTGATTTTTCTTTTAGCCTGTAGCCTCAAATTTCTCAAATTATCCACTGAGATTGTAAGTGGTAGGCTATAATAGGCCAGATCTTGGGATGGATGAGGCAAAAAGGGGTCTTCTCCTTTACCCATTGCTTTGAAATAACAGCTGGAGGGACCATCCATGGACAGAGCCTCCTCTGCCCATCTCGGAGTCCTCTCTCCTGAGGGCTAAGTGTGTTTCCTACCTAGAACAGGACGAAGCACCAAAGATCACTGCACATCAAACCCCAAATCTTCTTGCTTCATTTTGACATTTTCCATGGTTTTATCTTTTTTTTCTTTTTGTCATTTTTCCCAGCAAAAATAATGTTTTCACTAAAGCTAAGGAGAGCCATTTGATTTTGTTTTCCCCCCTATCCCATTTGTAATGGATGCAAGACGGGGCATGTTGTCTCCCTGGATGGAAGGGGTATCCCAGGGCTGGTGGGAAGCAACACCCTTTGCCAACACTAAGGACCCCTCCAGGGTCAGGAGCTTCCAGAGTTGCTCATTGCAGGCAGGAGCACATAAGAGTCTGTGCTTGGCTGGTAGCAATGCAGATCACCAGCCATCCCGGCATGAGGGGTCTTAGGCCATCTCAGAGCAAGTTGCCAGTTAACCCACGCTTAATACAGAGTGATCTGATAAGTACAAGACATGTCCTCACATTAAAAGACTTAAATGTTCCAGATGCAGCAGTTACCCAAGTCTTCCACGATACTACTGCAGTACTCGGCGATTACCTTCCTGCGCCGAGAGCAAGCAGTCAAGACAGGCACTTGGTCTTCATTACCCAGCATAATATTCACTGGTCCATTTAATTAATGCTTAGAAAATGTACTTGATGAATTACAAGTGACCCAGGGGGCAGCATGAGGGGAAACACAGAAATAGGATTATCAATGGCTGGCTCTCGCTTCTTTTAAACTTAAAAAGAAAACCACTCACAACGTCCTGTGGGATTTTCTTCCTTCTTTTCCTCGGAGCAGGCACCTAATTTCTCATGGCAACAGTTGCTGCGGATGAGGGAAACTCTTGTAGGAGCTGCCTGAGGGAAAACTGTCTGCAGTTGTGGTGTACAAGGTGCAGGCAGCCCGTCCGAGGCGTGGGACACACTGCACTGCCGACATCTCTGTCCTTCTGGAATTTCCTGGATATATCAGCTGCACAGCACATGGATTTCACCTGTAGGAATGCTGCTCTCTGGGGAGTCCTTGACAAAGATTTTATAGTTCCCCCCCAAACTGAGGGCCTTGAAATATGCAGGAATAAAAGTGGCTATTGGGGTAATAGAGGTGTCACTGGAGGGGAGAGTATTTACAAACACAGAACAACAGCCCCAAACAGCTAAATAGTTTGATCAAGGTCATGAGGGAAACCTGTGTCAGAGTCATGAATTTAACCTACATCTCTTGCTTGGTTCATTGCCTTAGCAGCTGGATCCTTCTTCCTTCCTCCTTAGTCATTGACATACCACTCATTTTAAAGTGTGCTTTCCTTCCTTGTGTTTGGAAAAGGTGAAAATGGGAGGCAGTCTGACAGAAATCCTTAATCAGGGCAAAAAATCAAAATGTCTTTCCCTCCCCTTTCTGCTGTTCAAGGGAGCCTGCCCCAGTTCAGATTTTCAAAGCTCGATCTGCAGATCTGGTTTCTGTCAACAGCACCGATCTGTGGGTGCTCAGACTTGGTATCCACATGGGTGCATGGCTGGGAGCCAGGAGCTCACCAGCACTTTCTGCTCTGCAGATCACTTGAGAATTGGGGTTTCTTTGTGAAGATGAAGTATCATGTGCCGGCTCTGGGCTCTGAAGACACTAATTTTTACACAGAAAATGATCTGTGCAAGTGTGTAAGCCTTTGGGAGACATCTTTGCAGCCTCCCGAAATGCAATGTTGCCCTCTAGTGATCAGCAGGATGATCTTGTTTGATCTGCTGATGAAACAAAAAGCAGGCTTTGAAAATCGGACAGATTTTTCTTCTTTCGTCCAACCCTGGAATTAAAGATCCTACTGTCAGACATTGGACAGCATTGGGAGTGGCAATAAGCAGAGAACGTCCTTCAAGAAGAGCAGTAGGTGTGAAATTACCAGTTTTTCTCCATGAATTCAGCAGATGGAAAGCCAGCTGCACTCACAAGGCAAATCTAGCAAGAAGGTACCATTTTAATGTGGTGTCTTCTCTTTTTCAGTTCGAAAGCCAATATCTTTTTACTTACTTAAATAGAGTTTCAAGAACATTAGGTGAAATCCTGTGGAAACGAGGGAGGAAAAATGAAAACATAGGTTTTTTTTTTCACATTTGACCTATTCTGAGGGAGAGGTGAAGGGATAAGAGTCAGAGAAGTTCAGCAGATAACCAAAAAATTCCTCAGAATGTTTCTCTCGCTCTTAATAAGTAAATAGCTCACTGGACCTGTCAGGAAAGAAGCCGGTTTGAAGGGTCTTCAGAACTTGGGAGCACTACAAAGCTTTGACCTTTACCCCTAGAAAGGTTACATTTAAGGCCCTGGATTCTGCAAACAGCTCCACACGGACAAGCTCTGTAAAGCTTGTAGGCAGCCCCAGGAGCTTCGGCAGGTCTCACAGCTCTGCTCCTGGACTGCGGGGTCAGACACTGAGCTTCCCTGTAACTGGACCCGGCAATTCAAACCTGCTTTCTAAGGGATCTCATTGTTTTTTTTAAGTTCCTAATGCAGACAGCATTTCCCTGGCACCTTCTCTATTCTAATTGCCTGTGACAAGCCATGATAGTAGTGGAATTTAGGTAAGGGACATTGTGTCACTGTACTGCAACTTAAAGATCACTCTAAATCGGAGGAGGCAAGTATATATATTTTTCTCCTTATTCAAAATATAAGATAAATTCAAAATTCATCTTCATCATTCCCAGCCTTTCTCTGTTACCATAGGAACCTTAAAAACACAGGAGATATTTATATACAATGATCAGTAACATGGCGGCATCTTGCAATTATTTCGTCTTGAACTTCTTTCCCTGGAAGGTCACAGAGCAGAGGTGAGGGCTGGAGTCTATTCACACTTTTGGCAAAACTCTCACAGTTGATACTGCCACAGAATCAAAACTTTAAAGCAAGCAGAACACACAATACTGAATTGATCGATACATGTGGTGAACTTTTCAACATAATTGCAAATATTTGGGATATTTATCTAATGCAAGAGAGTGTTTTTTTCTAAAACTGAGCGTTTGGGCTGAGCAGGTTCTTACTGAGTTCTGAGTTGATCTTCTGCCCAAAATATTACAAAATTGTCCTTCCTACTCATTCCCAGCATCACTGTTCATTGTACCGGCAAATTGTGTGAGGGCCTCAGCAATTTCGCCGCTTACTTTGCCACCAAAACTGCTACGTGCCAGCTGCTGAAATACATGAAGAAACCTTTATAAAAAATACCCGACACAAGAGCTAAAGCATCCAGGGAAGGAACCCAGGAGTGGATTTCTAGCAGTGAGCATTTTACAAAATGCAGTGCAGAAACTGGCAGGCTAGGTGACGGAGGGAGAAAGAAATGCCTCCATGGAGTGATGGAGAATGGAAGGAAGCCTGCACACAAACAAAAGGAAAGATGAGAAACAAAATCATCTAGTGATGAGCTTTCAGTATGGCTAGGGTTGCGGCGAGTGATTGTTTCCTACAATATCCTCAAGTGTCTTCCATCTTCTCAGTCCCCTTTCTAA